AAGATATTTAAAAAAAATATAGACTAGGCATAGTGTACAAAATTTCTTCACCTATACTTTAAAAGGTACATCAGTTGTCAAGTTTAGTGCCACCTGTGCCCTTGTATTACCAAATATTTAAAAAAAAACAAAATGATAAGCTCCACTTTAAACATGTAAATATTAATTAATGACACCTATCGACAATTAATCTAATTACAATTAATTACATTGATGTATGTTTTGAGGCTGCCAATAGATGGCGTTAGGTTCATTTAAGTGAAGTGTCGAGTACGCCTCTATATTTATTTTAATGTTACTCTCTGCCTATAACTTTATGATTTAAGAAGAGTACAAATCGAATGACTTCGATTTGTTGTCTTAAAGTCGGTAAACGCCGAATATGTTTCACGTTTATTTAAAACAAACTTATTGAAAGATAAGATTTTTTGCAGAATGAATCAATTTGACATTCGTACACTTTTTAGTTCTATTGAAAAATGTGTAAAATAATTTTAGTTTTACACAATTACCTAACCTAGTCATCTTCAGGGCATAAATAATTGTGCTATACGGATAGTCAAGTGATCAATTGTCGAGTATGAAGTGTGCAGTTATTGCGAGGGGGGCGCGTGTGAGGTGTGCGGCGCGCGCGGTCACACGCGCTGCGCACGCGCCGCTAGCGCTGCGGTGCGCCTCGACAATCGTGTTATACCGCTCGGTTCCTTTTCCGCTTTAAGATTGAAGGTTGTGAAGAATTTGAAGAGGACTAAAATAAAAGCAAGTAGCCTATGTGTTCTTCCAGACTATCTCTACATCTATGTCAAATTTCATACAAACACGTTCAGCTGTTTAGGGTATAAACTCTAATAAACACCCATCCATCTATTCATCTAAAATTTCGCATTTATAATTTAAGTAACATTAGTAAAAAAGATTTTTACTGTAGCTAGACAGTAATAAAGAAGTTTATGCAAGTATAAATAGGATACCACATAAAATTTAGCACTTTTAATCTAGTTTTAAGAAGTTGTAATAAGTATTTATGTGATACGAAAATGTAAAACATAATTTAAAGTTTTATAATCGCAACAAAAATTATCGAATTGTTTCCACAGCGATTAACATGAACCACATAAAACCTACCAGCATTAACTACCCCTGTCCCGTACAATGGAAACGAAATAAATTCTCACAGAGATCAAACAAAGCGATCTGAGATGCAGTAACAGTAGTGCGTGTGATACCCCTAGCGGCACTAACCACCCCCTCGTACACCCTCGCACCCCCGACATTCACACGGGAACTCAACACTTTACTAATACTAACTTAACACAACTTACGATTTTAATCTCTATTACTTAAGTAATAATTCATTGTATTGTGCAAGAGTTTTGTATCAACATTGTACAACACTTATTGTTTTTTATTACTGTATATTCTAATGGTATTGACTGATAGCCTTGTGAATATTGAAGCTTTAAATGCGGTACCCTTTGTAATTTGTTGAACCAATATTGTACAATTATTTGAAATTTAATATTCCATTTAGAGACAACGGGTTAAAAGATCAAAGGTTCTAGCTAGTATAAGGTTTTCTACATGTAATATTAATTCTGTTTTTGCTTAGAAATTACCTTTCAAATGAATGCTCAAGTTATAGACTTTCTTTAGTTATGATCATATTGCTAGTACAATAAAAAACTATGTAATCAGATTTATGGTATGGCAGTTAATTTAAGTGCTTACGTAATGCTTGTTAATTTCTATATTATGTCTTTTTTAAAAAATTAAACACATATACTCTCAATTAAGTTGATTCGAAGTAAATTACGTTGTAATTTGTTTCCTAAAATAACTAATTGTTTATCCGTGCGCAAATATTATAGAAGTACCCCAAACACCGTGTACAAAAGCCTTCGCATTCTGACGTAGAGGTAAATATATATTTGAGATGTTATTACAAGCAACCTTCGAGCTTCGGCAGAATAATCCGCCGCGATCTGTTGTACAAACAAACCGACAGACAACAATGAGCCAAAATAAACAATGGGGAATAATATAAATCTTATATTAGGAATATTAAACTACCAATTTCTGTTCAGTAGAATGGTATATCATTTTTGTATTCTTGCGGATTTAATCCTATACATAATTTTAAAGTAAAATCGATTTAATTTTAAGTAATGTAATAGAAATCCCTCCAAATAGTGATAGAATCTGACATTTAATATATTTTCCGTAAGCTAGAAAAAGAAATAAATCATTAATAGAGAAAAGACTTAACTTTCCGCTATGAAAATACTTCATATAATTGTCTTAGTTTCACTTCTTTGTTCCATGTCCTGACTTAAGAGTTTAAACATTGCCTTACTAGTAACCGCATTGACCATATTTTTGTAAGACTTTGCGAAACAGACAATAGTCGCCGGCGGCTAAAAGTATCTCAACATCACCTGTCAAAAAGTCCCACACCCTCACTCCGCCCACAAAAAACGGGTTAAGTCAAAAAACCTCCGACTTTGTTAAAACTCTCGAGTGTTCGTTGGGAATTATTTCACTTGATGCTTTTGTAAAATATTACCTGAAGAGGTTATTGTACTTGGCTTGGTTAATACGATATCGTTGCTTGTCGCGATCTCATACTAGCGATATAACTTATACCGTAAAGACTTAGGTGTAAAATATTTTTATGAGTAAAGATTATCGCTCTTGAAGTCATAGGTTCTAAACGAAATCAACCTAGAACTTATTAGGAGTGGTTGCAGATAATTAGTTTTGGGCTTGTAACTTACACTTGTAATCCCCAAACATCTGTTTTCAAATATTTGCCGTATAAATGTAAATTAAATATAGCAAAAAGTAATATTGTCTCGTAAAAAAGTTAATACTCTCTCCCGCAGAGCGCAAACAAAGGTGAAAGACGATTACATACAGTGTAAGGATTAATCTCGTACAAATCTGATTGGATTTAAAATCTTTGAAGTGTTCGCGACTTTGTTAGCTTTAATCTACTTATAGTTTTTTGTTATAAAAAGTGTATGTTCAGGTAAAATCGTTCCACGTTGCGTGAAAATCGCAACAATCAACATAAGAAGTTTTCTAAACCGAGTAATGTATGGAACAGGCTTAGTCAATTTTAATTCGACTTCAAAATTGCACAAGTAACCCACGCATTTTTAATTTATCATGAACCCTATTTTAATAAACACAGTTTATAGTAATGAAATAAACCATCTAGACGTGAAATGTACTTGATCACTCAAAGTAACATTTAATAAACATCAAAGGATGAACACCTTAATTGACAAGTGGAATGCGAAATATTTAAAGATTAAATCCACCCTTTATTCAGTTGTATTTAATATCAAGGCTCAAATTTAGTTAATCAATGTATTACAATAAACTAAAATATAATGAATACTATGTATTTTTATTTGCACATGTATTAAAAATCTTCACTCACATAGTTAAGTTCAGATTTCCTATGTACTATGAAATTAATACGCAGTTACTTATGAGGGAAAATGGTCGCACGCGTCTCAGTAAGCCTCCTGCGTCCTCCCCCGCGGCAGAAACTTTCACACCAATTGTTAGCCGAATGAAATTGCATTTCCTAATTGCCGGCCCGCTTCCCACCGCGCGACCGACACGCGGCGCTCTGATTCACCAGTCAATTTACACCCGAACAAAACTAGTCTCTA